ATTACAGTGAACAGAACATAGACCAGAAAAAGCATTCTTTGCTAGCTATAAATCATGAGTGACATTAAGGTATTGCTATTAGCAGCAGAAAAATGCTTTCCTCCCCCACTCTCATCCAGCCTGGTGTACATACAACACCTTGGCAAAGGGTGATGGGATGGAAAATTAAATAGAGGTTGTGTTGTCTGGAGATAAATTGGTACCTCCCTCGGCGTGAGTGACTTTGTCTTTTTCTGATTTGTCTTTTAACTTAAAAACCACTGAGAATAGAGATAAGGATGAGCTTTAAAACCCTAGCCTTTGTCCCCTCCCAGGCTCTCCTGAACAAGTCCTGTCTCTGAAATGAGCTCAAAATGAAGATAAATGTTCTGGCAGTAATATGCAATATTATTTTGGCACTCGAAGAATCTCAAGATAGATAAGGGAAAACTGAAAGGAAGACAAAGCTCTGTTTTTTTCAAAAGTAAGGGACCAAATTCTGCCTACCCATATGAAGCCAGAATCCTTTATTTTTTTCCAGATTATTGCAGTAATTCCTGATTTTCACCAGAGTAGCTGATTATGTGGCCCTATTTAAAACCCAGCACATTCAGAGACCCTGGTGGAATCACACAATAACAGAACTGAAAGACAAAGGCATGTGAAGACAGTGCCAACTCCCCAGCTCCTGCCCAAAGGCTAATTTGGTTTTGGACCATGTTAACTGTAACAATGATAAGATTAACACCTGATATCAAGGAAAAGGCTGAACTGTCTGAGACCTCCTTCATCAGAACAGAATTTGCTCCAGCCCCTCTGGCTTATTAGCATATGTTAGAGGAATGGCTCCTTTCTTGGACTAGTATGTATTTCCCTATAGAGCCTTTGTGCAAAGCTCAGAGCAGTGTTTCTGCTGATATATTTGTGGGTACGTTGAATAAAACATGTACCATTTAACATTGTTTGCATGGGCTTCCATGGAGAATGGGAGAGGGCACCAACTACTGCAGGGCAGACAGCCATGAGAGGCTGAATCTGGCCTTTCTAGGAGCAGGAAGAAGCACAGGCAAATGCAGGAGCATGTCATGTTTTTGATTCTGAGAGAGCCCTGACCAAAGGACCCAGCTCACCTTGCATTGATTGAAGTGCCAGCTGTATATATTGCCTTAAGACAAGGAAAAGTAAAGAGCCCAAACCTTTGCTCTCTGTACGTGCATTACTGCGTTACAAATGTGTATGCTTTGAAAATTAAATGGGAAGGGATTTGCAGAACAAGCTGAGTGTTTTAGAGGCAAAATTTCTAGTGCTCAGAAAGGCTCCTGTGTCCAAAGCACAGCCTGTGCTCTGCAAATTTCAATATGCTTTGTCAAGGCTGGAAGTTTGATAAGAGATTCTGGTTCTCAAGAGCTCTTAGAGCATCCTGTTCTAGGGAACAACAGTTATTGATGCTGCTGGTTTTAACTAAGAAGTTGTCACAGCTGTTCTTGGATTTGACTGGCATGTGAGGAATAGTTACATGGAATAGCTAGAGGCATTGCCACCTGTTGTGTCTATTCAAAGTTAGTAATTTTCTAGGCAATTAAGAACTGTTCAGTGGTACATTTTATAATACAATATTTGTATGATGTGACCAGAAGGAGCATCCTAGCATAAGAAATAGGACATTTCTAAAGGAATTCAGAATCTCCCTCCTAAAAGCTCTGAAATATTCTCAGGTCAGTTCAGAGAAGCAGCATATTGAGAAGGATGTCAGCAAGAATCAGGAAGAGCTCTAGAGGAAATTCGTTTGTCCAACAGGTACAACACTGTCACCAGATAAGCTTTAATGAAACACTTGTTCATTTTCATTTCTGTCACCATGTTTCCAGCTCTGAAATGAAATACCTCATCCCTGTCAGCTGTTGTGCCAGTGACAGGAGTTGTTCTGTCCCATGCCAGTAACACCAGGGCCAGCTCTGCTGAGAGGAATTCGGCTGGCCAGGCAGTCATGGATGTGCCTTTGGCAAGGAACAAGCAGTGGGAAGATGACTCCAAGATTATCTGTAACTACTAAAGTATATGCTCTTGACTCCCACAGAGCAGGATCATACCCTGTCCTGAGCTCTAAATAGTTCAATAGTTCAAAAAGCTGCCGGTCTTTCATTTCATGGAGCTGATCATGGCAGTAAGGCCATCTTTTAGCAGTGTTAATATTCGGGGAATCTTTATCTCCAAGAGATTTCTGTTTCATGGAAACAAATTAATTCTTGTCTTCTATGCAGTCACAATAGTCAAAACATACTCTTTATCTGTTCTGATCACCTTTTGTTAAGCAGCTTTGCTTCCTTGCTCCTCACCTGCTCTTGTTCTGTTTGGTACAGGACACTAAGGCCACTTTCCCTCAATAAAAGCATCATAGTTTTCCACAGGAACAGCTGTGCACAGCTAAGAGCTGGTTTCCTTGCCAGCAATGGGTGTGGAAGGTTGTAACTTTTTCCAATGGCAGGGAAAAACAGTGAGCTCACTGGCACAAATCTATCAGTGAAGCTGCACAAGTATATTAAACAGAGCAAACAAGAACATTGCTGTTACCTTTCAAGTAAATAGTTTTCCCTTCTCAGTTTGCTCCAGCATAAAAATCCGTCTGCCCTGTACATGCCACTGCCAGTATTTATTTTTTAAGAACTTGGATCTGTTTATTTATTTATCCATATTTAGTTTAAAAGTCTGAGCTCAAAATTAAACAGTCGTTCATAATGTCATTATCTGCCTTGCTCTGCAGTTAGATACCGTGTGTGGTGTCACAGGACAAAACCTCTGGCAAGGCCTCTAGAAGAGCAATTTAGCTCCTCATCCATCTTGCCTGGCATTATGATTGGCTTCCAAGCTTGCACTGCTAAATTTGTTATTTTACTCTGACTTATATTATTGAGTGTTAAATCACTTTCTGAAGTGTTTATTGGTAATAGTTGAATTCTTTCCACCCATTTGAACTACTTTTGAAACATAAACATTTCCTTATATCTTGGAACTTGATAGCAAGGTGGGGAGAGTTCCTCAGGAGCATGGATTGTATAAATTACCAGCTCATTAAGCAAGGACAGAATTTACCAGTGCTGTGGAGGAGAATATCCTCCTCCTTCCATCAGGAAGAAACAGCAAACTCCCACAGCCACTCCACAGCACTCACATGAAGAAGGTTAACTTGTGTCTTGTTCTCCCATCATGTCTTGGCCTGTCAGGAAGCAGATGACCCATTTACTGGAACACCAATGGCTTCCTGACAGGATCTTCATAGATCCTGAATCTCCCTGGATAGAAAGCCAGGCTGTGATCTGCAGGATCAGGTGCTGAGGAGGTTATTAGGCATCAACATGCCCATGCTTCCCAGTGTGAAGTGTGGTCTGCAGCCCCTGCCTGGAACTGACGTCTCTTGGGAAGGAACCAGAAACAACTTTTTTATACCTATTTAGGAAAATGGAGCAGAGGATCAGAGAGCAGAAATAAACAAAGAACTTAAAATCTAGTCTGAAAGTCAGAAGCTGAGATGGAGAGCAAGGGCCAGAGGCAGGTCAAGCTGAAGAGGGGGCAGAATTTCAAATAAGCCCTTTGGCAATTGATCTCTTGAGGACCCAGATGTGACAGCCCAGCAGCCTGATCCAGGCCGGTGTACTCAGTACTGCAGGTCCTCTTACCTCTTGCCCTTGCCTCAGGGAAGACCTACAAATCAAAGTTTTTATCTTCATTTTATTTTTAATGTGGAGGTCTGTTGAGTCTCTTTCCTGCATCTGGGAGTTACTTTCCAATCTGAGTTTTAACACAGAATTTTAGAGATGACACCAAGATCACTGTAGCAATCAAGGCTCCTTTGATGGCAGTGCTAAAAATACACTCCCCAGCTGACACAAGCCTTCAGGAGGAGAACATAGAGTTTGGTTTGAAAGAATACATCTTCCTTAGTATCCATGTCTTCTGCCAGAGGACACCACATCTGTGACAACCATGCAAGCAGGTTACATCTGTCTTCTGAAATGAAGCACCCACATTCAGACCCATACTACCTTCAGCCTCAGCAAGGGGAAAGCTTTAAACCCTCTGAGTGCCTTGGAGAATGGTTTCATTGGCAGCTTTTTGCCTCTCTGGTCATGTTGGCATATGTCAAGTTATTGCATGCCAGGACCCACATCTTAGGGTCTTCAGCTTGGCTTTGCCAATCCCTTAGGAAAGGAAATAGCCAGGGATCAGCTGGGGCTGCTCAACAGGACTGAATCTGAACCTGGCTGCTTCCCTTCCTGCTCTCCACCCTGCTAATTCCAGGGTGCTGGCACACAAGTCCTGGCTAATGAGGCATTCCCAAAGCCCTGCTTCTACACTTGTAAAGGAGACTGTGGTAAGTAGTGCCACCTCTGCCACCTCCTGGGCTTCTGAGGACTTGAGCAACCTGAGACTTTGAACCGTGGGTTGCAAATGCAGATTTTTGCAAATGTTGAGCAATAGATCATGGATTGCCCAGCTTCAATCTGTGCCAGCTCACTCTCTCCCCAGGTCAGAGAAGTGATGGCACTAACAAGCAGGTGTTTGCAGAACAGAGTGCAGGTCTCCCTCCCCTTGGAGTCATTAGCTAAAGATGGATCATTAAGGCTTTTGGCTAGGAGATGTACAGATGGACAATCACACACAGTATCAGCTCCACATCTGTAATGTGTAATGTGTCAGGGGGTAAAAGGTTGAGCAACCCACTTTGGCAAATGGAAATAGCAAGAAGGGTGTATTTTTCTGGCTAAATGAAAGTGTTCTCTGTGTGTTATTTTTTCATGTATCTCCATGCATAACTTGAACGCAGTGAAAGGAAAAATTAATTTCTTTGGTCAGACAAAAATACACCAGATTTATTGTTTTGAGAGATACAGGGGGTATTTAGTATTTCTACATGGCTGCTCTAGCTATAATTGGCAGCATAAATGTTCTGTCAAAAAAAGGCATTCACCCAAGAATGTCTCTGGGCTCAGCCAGCCTCAGTCCTGGAGGTGGATGTCCCATCCCTAAACCTCTGTGGGTAGTGCTCCATTGCCAGGAGTCTGTTTGATGCTCCCATTTAGGGTGTTGGCCCTGAAGATGTAAGACCTCCCTCTAACTGAGCCTTCAGTGTGGATGCTTTCAGGCTTGTTCTGGCAACGGAAGAACATAAGGAAGCCATTCCTGTAGTTCTTGTTCATCCATCCATAGAGCAGGGGGTTGACAAATGTAGAGCACATGGCCCCAACATGGAAGACAGTGTACAGGAGTTTGTACTCATGGAAGATAAGAACCAGATCAAGATCGATGGCAAGCTGGAATATGTGGAAGGGGAGCCAACAGACTGCAAATACCACAACAACCATCACGAGCATTTTGGTTGTCTTCCTCCTCCGGCACTGGTTTTCATTTCTAGAAGTGGGACTGACATGGTTTTTCAGCTTGAACCAGATCCTGGTGTACGCATAACAAATAATTGCAAGAGGAAGAACATACTGAAGGAGGAGCATGGACAGGCTGTAGATGGTGGCATCTCTGTTGTTACCAGAGGGCCATTTTTCTGAGCAAACAGCCATTTTGAGGTTAATGGATGGGATTTCCTCATATCGGTACTCCCTGAAGATGGCCAGAGGCCCTGCTAGGACAGCTGCTGCCAGCCACATGACAGCTATGATGGTGAAGCTGAGCCTCTTGGAAATCCTGCTGTCCAGATGGAAAACAATACAGCGGTACCTATCCAGGGCAATCACAGTCAGGGTGAGAGTGGACACATGGACACTCAGAGCTTGAGCATAAGGAACCAGGTGACAAAGAACAGCTCCAAACTTCCACTCATCCAGCAGGGTGTACACTAGGGTGAAAGGCAGACAGAGTGTGTCCACCATCAGGTCTGCCAGGGCCAGGTTAGCTATGAAGAAGTTGGTGACAGTCCTCATGGTCTTGTACTTCACTATGATGTAGATGACCAGGGAGTTCCCAATGAACCCTAGCAGAATGATGAGTGAGTAGGCAGCAATCAGGATGACCTGGACCCCCAGGATCTTGGTGCTGTCCATCATGACACTGTGGGATCCGGAGAGATCCTGGGTTGGAGTGACAAAGTCCTTGGTATGCCAGCCATGTGGCAGCTTCTCATCTAATGCTGTCTTCTCCATGGTGAATGTGCTGTTGGCTCCCTCCAATGGTCCCATGCCTGGCCCAAGACTTTCCATAAGGAGGAGAAGGAGGTCTGGAACACAGACATAGCAGAAGTGAGAGCATGGGTTACATTCATCTTTGATGAGATTTACTTGCCTACAAAAATTCCCTAACACCTTAAGAAGTAGGAAAGGAGAATAACAAGGCACTCTCAAAGTCAAGGTGTTCTTCTCTACCTCCCCATAACAATTTATTTATTTCTAGAATGTGCACTAGGGTTTTGGTTTTTTCTGTTTCTTATTTCTCACTTCTACAGATGAAAATATGTGTCCCCCTGCCTCTGCATATGTCTCTGCCACTTCTGCTGCTAGTGATGCTACCACCCAATCCACCCAGTACTGTCTGCTCTCCCTTCCAGTAATGTGGGTAGCATAACTAATGCCATTTTATGATCCATTATCAATGATCAAATGTGTTGCATAGTCATTCCCTGACCCTCAAGATCTTGTGAATCAATCACACAAACCAGTTTTCTTCTTTCTTTCCCTGCCAGTCTCACGGTTCCCAGGCATCAGGCAATTGTTGCCTTCCTTGCTGGCTTTGAAGGTCACAGGCATCCAGCCAGGCAGGTGTTGTTTGTGTCCCCATCACAGGAGAGGGAAGTGTTACAGCACACAGAGCTCAGTTACAAGCCTAAGTAAGAAACTACTGGACAGTGAGACCCATGAGCCCTATGGCCAGGAGATACCTCTACCATCCTCTGCTTTCTCCAAGGATTCAGCGAATGGCTCATATTCTTTTATAAAATTTTTGAGCCTAGATTATGATTGTTACAATGATACCACAAACCATGTATTAGGATTTGGCCCAGTCTGAAGAGGGTCTAGGTGATTATAAATTATAAATTGTATTTTAAGTTCTGTATTTCTTAGGTGATTAGAAATCATAATTTATTTATAAATTCCGTATTTTGCCATTTGTAGATTGTACTGTGTTGATTCTGCTTGTAGAAATCTGGTGCTGTTTCAATCATAAATTCTGCTCTACACTAATCATAATACCCTGATAAAGAAACAAAGATTTAACTGTCATCATGATTTAGTGCCATCTTCATTCTGCCAAAGATCCCTAAAAGAACCTCTCTGTCCTCTCAGTGTTGGTGACACCCAGGCATCTGCTGGCTTAGCAGAGGAGGGAGCTCCTACAGGGACATGCATGTGCAGGGCATAAACCACTGAAGCTGTGAACAAGCCTCCCACGGAGCTGCTGCTGAGCATCCAGGCACAGACAGGCCGAGAGCCAGAGCTGCAGTGTCCATCAGCCTCCTGCCACGTGGTGTTCAAATGCCTGCGTGGGATGGCTTTGGGAGCAGGGAGCCTGAGAGGCCACAACTGACGCAGCCTGGAACCCCTGGCTGGCATTAGGTGTGACTGGAACAGCAAAGTGCTGTCACAGCAGGGTGTTCATTGAATCCAAGCACAGCAGGAGAAAAGCCAGCTCTGTTACTGGCTCCTCCTCAGCCTCCGTGGCTCAGAATTGCTGTGGGCTTTATGGAGAGGGGTGGACATGGCCCCTCACATATCCCCGCTCCCCAGTGAGTAGGGCCCCACTCCCACTGCAGAGGAGAACGCATTTAAAAGTGAGCAAAAGTCGTCACTCTGCCCAAACAGGGAGGTCTGCAAAGCATTGTGTTTTCTCTGGCCTGCAGAGAGGGGAGAAAACGCTCTTTCATTAAGGGAGGGCTTAAATGAAGTGGGAATTAGAGGCAGACTGCTGGGTATCTTCTCAGGCTCCTCGAGGAAGAACTGGGTTTGTCTCAGAAAAGATGTGAGCACTGCTGACCGGGTGCTGGTGGGCTTCCTGCAAGTCCCATGCAAGCCAAAGGTTTAAGGACAGTCTGTACTTGGGAAGGGAGAATGCTTTGCAATTACATTGCAACCCAAGTCTGCTTGTCCTGTCATCCCTCAGAGCAAGGGGTGTGATTCCCCCTCAGGAGCTGCTCCCGGGAATCTGCTTGGCCAGCTGAGGCCCAGCAGAAGAGCTGCCTGCAGTAAAATCACCCCTGCTGGCACCCTTTCTCTTTCCCTCTCCATGTCCAACTTGCCAGCCTAACATCTCACCGAGATGAGCCTCACTGGGACTGATTTATGACACTGGTTCCTGTAAATGAGGCTGTTGGGCTCAGACACTGTGGGATAGTAGACACCATATAGCTACTGCTAGGAGGGTAGGAAGCAGAGATAAAATGGGTGGGTCTGCTAGGGTCAGGGTTTGTTTAAAGGTGATCTCAGACCTCCACAACACCCCTGCCCCAGCCTTGGAAAGACCAAGGAGAAGATCCAGTTGCTAAGGAGATCCAGGAGCTAAGGAGAGATGGGTGCAGGGGAACAGCAGGGCCCTGCGAAGGTGGCACAGTCACAGCCTCTTTGGCAGAGCCTGACCCCGTGGCAGACACCTGTGATGCAGCTGGCCCTGAGCAAACCCCACTGCCAGGAGAGCAAGGTCAGCCAAGGAAACAGAGCAAGTGCTAGGGACACTCTCAGTGACTGTACTTTCCCTGCTTGCCACCCATCTGGGATTTAAACCCTCTGGATTGTCCAGCATTACTTTATCACTTGTTATCACCTTTCCTGTGGCTTGCCTGTTCCATTTATCTTCAGTACCCTAGTTCTGGCACCACACCAACGGACACTCCCTTCTCTTTTTCTCCATCTCATCCACCAACTGGCTGCCAGTTCCCATGCTCACATCTCAGTCTATTTCCTTTTGCTGGAGACTGGCAGCTACCCACCAGCTGAGAGGAGCCAGGAACATCATGGTTACGGGAGCTGCTTTGCTTCCTAACAAAATGGCCTTAATGGAGTCACTATTTGATTTTGTTTGGTTTGTTTTTTCTCCAAAGGGGAACTATTACAAATCAATTAAAACATTTTAATTAAGAGACAAAGTGATTATAATAAATGTTCCCACTCCAGGGGCTGCCCAGAGGTCACTGGGATGCTGCTAGGAGTGGACTGAGGTCTATTCCAGCAAGTAATGGAAGTGCTGGCATATGTGTAGGCTGCTGTCAGGCCTCGTGCCTAACAGGCCTGCCAGACTAGATTGAAAAAATCCTTGGGACTGAGAGCCAACTGTTTTTGGGGCAAGAAAGCAGCAAGAGAGACCAGGAGGAGGCAGAAATACTACCCAAGTCCTTTCCTCTGTGCCAAGTTGTCATGAAGGGATGCAGAAACAGGCTGATGTTATCTTGATAAGCCCAATCCTCACCCTCTGCTCCAGCTGAGGCTCAGCCTGAGGCAGGGCTGGGACCCAGGGATGGCTCCCAGCAGGACAGAGCTGTTCCCTGTGCAAGCAGGCTTCAGCCTTTGGGAAGTGGAGCAGCACAGAGGAGCCCTTCACTGCTGTCAATGACTGGGACAGTGACCAAAGTGACGGCTCCAAAATCCATTCCTACAGAGGCCCATGACCAGGTGCCCTGGGACTCATCCACCTCTGCTTTCTGGGGCTCCCCAGCTCCCTCCATGTCCCTGCTGCAGCTCCAGGCATTCAGCCAAACTGGAAGAGATACATCCAGACCTGGAAGAGACATCTGAAAAGCTGGCAGGGTTCAGAAAACAGGGCTGGAGGGGTGGGAAGAGGGCTGGAGAAAACAGAGTTTGTTAATTAGAATTTCTCTTTTTGTCCAAGCAGCAAGACTGGAGTCCATGGAATCAAAAGGAGGGAGTGAAGGGACTTGGGCCAGTCTCTGCTCTTCAGTTAATGACAAACTCTTTCTACAGCAATGCTGGAGTGTGAGGGCTGGGGCTGATGTATAATTCCATGGCTTGGCTCACTGATTTATTCCATCCTTGTCCTTCCTCCAAAGCAGCTCAACTCCACCAAATCCCTTAATCTCCAGCAGCCCAGTAAGGAGCACTGACACATTTCATCCCCAGACCTATATCCAGACAGACATCCATGACAAGGAGGTCTGAGACCATCCCTCATCACGAGAAGCTGGTGCTCACCCTGGGACAAGCCACCTTCTACCACCTTTATGTTCCCTTCCAATACTCAAGGGGCAGCAGTGTTCAGTGTCCCTGCACCCCACAGCACAGCACTTAAGGGAGGACAACACAATAAATGCGGATATGGAGGTTAATCAGTCTGCCAGAGACAACACAGTACATCTACTGCAGGGTTTCGGCAGAGCCCAAGTTTTCTAACTCCAGCCTCCTGTATTCACCACCAGAGAGGACTCTGCATCTCAGCATAAAACCTGAACATAGATCTCAGGATCTGCATGAAAATGCAAAATGTGACTGATGAAGTTGGAACAAATTTTGTCTTCTCTTTGCAGTGGACAGATTTCAGGACAAACAGCAGCTCTAGAGGATCTCCTGAAGCCAAAGAACAGATAGAAATTATCCTAGCTCCTTCCATCTCTGGTGAAGGTCTGACTGCCTTGCTATGATACGCCAGCAAAAGGGAAGACCCTCTGACCTGCCCACCATCTACTGCAGCTTTGTAAGTTATCTGTCCAGCTCAGGGCCACAGGTGCAGAAACCTCATGGCATCAGACATTCATTGCCACCCAGAATTGCTCCTGGGGGACACCAGCATAGAACTGGCACTGGGAGACAAAATGCAAGGATGAGGAGATACACCAGGGATTTCTTGTGGCTCCTCACACTAAATATTTTCATGTCTTTGCCTAGAGCTGGAGTCATGAAAGACTCTGAAGAGGATGAAGCAATGAGGATGCCCTAATCACCCAGCTCAGGACAGGATGAAAAAGGAGGTGGTGAGAAGAGATCTGTTTGGCAGTGATACATGCTTTTTCATGGGAATTTATCCTACAGAAAGCAGGGGGGAGCAGTGCAGGGCCCTCTGCCGTGTGGGATGTGCCATGGGAGCAGAGGAAGGCTGGCTGGGACATAGAGATCAATGGGTGACACAGCGATGGAGACACCCCAGTTGCTGGGGCTGCAGAAAGGAAGAGAGAGCTTGGTGGATGGATCCTGGTTAACCTGGGGAATCTGTTAAATCCTGAAATTTACAGAGTCTGGGATAGGTGAGACAAGAGCAGAGGGAAATAACAACTCACTGAGAGAGCAAACAGGGAGAAAACACAGTATCCTGCTTTGGGACAGAGCAGAAGCTCTGTAGGTGAAATGCATCTGCAGCAGGACTACAAGAGGATTTCCCTGCTCAAGGACTAACATGCAATGGGTGCTAAGAGAAAGCAAGCACTGATTTTTCTCCTGTATCCCATATCCCCCTTTGCATCTCCCTCTCCAAGGATGGTGATCTGTGGTAGAGAGCAGAGTGCCAGCAGCGTGTGCAGTCCCATGGAGAAGCTGACAGAGGTTTGTACCAAGCCACGAGGAGGCAGACAGCAGGAGAGATTTCTCAGACAGCCACTCACCTCAGCCCCACACCTGCACCTCTGGAGCTGTATGTGCCCGGGTTCTGCAGCACTCTGGAACAACCTGCTCTCCTGACTGCTCTCACTCAGCATCCTGCTTCCCACACTCCCTGTTTTGGCTCAGGGACCTTTCAAAACTCTCCTGACAGTATCTCTTGTTTGCCTTCTCTATTCCAGCTCTCAAGGCTGTCAGTCCCCAAATCCAGTTTCCCAAAGATGCTTGGACCTTTTTTGCCTAAACTATGTGGCATGGACAAGACCTGGCCCCATCACAGCCCTGCTGCTCAGATTAGCCCTCCCTGACCCACCTGCAAAGGCCAGAGTGTTCTCCTCCTCCAGGAACCAAGCCACTCACCTCCAGTCACTGTCTCATTGCTGGCCAGGACAGAGTGCTTGGTCCTCTCCACTGTCTGGAAGTCCACCTGTGGCAAAGGAGTGGAAAGCACTTTTCTTCAACTGTCCTCAGAGAAGAGAAGTCAGGTGAGGATGTGGGCTGCTGGAGAGTGCTTCATCGCCAGGAGTAGCTTTGGAACCCCTCCCTGAGCACACGGAGAGCTTCCTCTTGCAGGGCGACCGACAGCCCTGTCTCATGAAGCTGGATGCTGTCTTCGCTCCTGAATGAGAGAAAGGCAGAGAGCGTGTGTTTAACAAACAGCAATGGAAAGGGGGAGGGAGCCTGCTGCTGCTGTTTATACAGTGTTCAGCCACTGAGGGGCTTCTTGCATCGAGAAGAGAGAAGCTTTTCCACCACATCAAGCTTTCTATCCAGGGAGAAGTGCTGGGAGCTGGAGCTCTGCTTCCCGTCCACACCACGGACCTGGACAAGTGTTATCTGCCCTCACTCCACAGCTGTCCCATCTCGTCAAGCTTTAAACTCATTTGGACTGGCACAGTCATGTCCAGAGGGGGATCTCCCCTACAGCAAGAGGTCTGCAGGTCCTGCAGCTCAGCAGAGCTTACACAGACCTTCCTGCTCCCTCCTCTCAGTGTTTGCACAGTGCACAGAGCAATCTGCAGCTGTGGGATGGGACTTCAGGGACTCCAGAGATACAAACAGAAGTAATGCTGGAAAGGTTTAACTACCTGGCAGTGGCTTGGTCTGCTCCAGAGCCAGATTTATTGTGGACATGGAAACTGAGTGACTTTCAATTTTAGGATGCTCAGCTTTGTCCAGACACCTGAAGCAAGAAAGGGAGAGACAGAAAAGCAGCATCCTTGTGTCCAAATCTGCAAAATCCAAGCTTGCTGGAGCCCAGGAAAGCACTCTAAAGGCAACACAGGGAAGCAGATAAGCACAGATAAGCCCTGCCTGTTCAAAGATTTTGCCCTTAAGGAGAAATCATGTGTATTCTTAGCATAGGATTTCCAACTCAGGCAATGTGTGAATTTGCAGCTCATTTGGGCTAGGAGATGCTCCCACAGGCTGAGAGGAAGGACACCTCTCCTAGGCTTTAAGTACCTACAGCTGGAATTTTATCAGAGAATTCTTGTTGTTTACCCCCATATTGAACTTTGGTCTCCTTTTCTTTGTGAGAACAGAAACAGGGAGGCTTTTCAACGACCCCTTTGTACCAAAAAGTCACAATACACCAGGAAAAAGAAAACACTCTGATGGCTCAGCAGAAAAAAAGGAATGAGAACATTCCTGAAATCACATGGAAAGTGACACTTGAACCCAAGACTTGGACAAGAGTCCTCATAAGTCCCATCCTTCCCCCTCCTGTGTCTGTCTCCCCTTCAGAAAGGAAAGGACTAGGCATGAAATTCACCAGCTGTGCTAACTGGATTTTTGTGGGAGTTTCGTGTCTTCTCCCCCTAAGGCTATTGATTTAACAACTCAGGAAATCTGGGGGTGGAGGGAAGCAGGACAAGACAAAACTGCTTGGCAAAAGCCATTGCTGTCTCCCAGTGGTCTGCAGAGAGAGGCAAAGAGCAGCTAAGCAAAGTGAGTGGTGCATGCTATTCCCCCTGTTCCTAGTGGATGGATACTCCTCCTCTCCAGGGAGGAGATCATTTATCTTCAGGTCAAGATTATTTTCTTCCTCCTTTCTCTTCTGTGTGAGATTTTTCTTGCTTGCTCCCCAGATTCCTTTGCTACCACTCCCCACTCTTCTCTTCCCAGGGCTGAAATAAGATGCCTGGGGAGAAGGCAGTGATTGGCGGGAGAGAAATTTGTGCAGCCTGAAGCTGTGAAGCTTCATCAGGATCATGGGGTGAATTCCAGTCATTTTTGGCACATGGTCTTTGCTGGATGATAGCAAATACAAACTCTTAAATCATGGATTAGTCAGTGCAAGTCCCCAAGATGTCCTCTCCCACAGTCTAAGGGGTCCAGTGGAGCATCGAAGCCTGCTCTGCTCCAAAACATCACCTCAGCTCTTCAACCAGACAGAGCAGTGCAAAAAGGTGCAGTTGAGCTCTCAGCACACCTGGACTGTCATCCCAAATGGTACCCACCAATCTGGAGTTTGGTCTCCATCCCCTGGATACTCCCATGCCCTCTCCCTGGGAGCCAGGCTCTTCTCACAGTGCACAGACACAGGCTGCCTTCCAGTCTGCCTAATCTGACCCAGCTACAACAGAATTATAGCCAGCAGTGGCTGCAGCATAGCCTTGGCTTCTCTACAGAGAAGGGACACCTGGGGGCTGCAGTGCCAGACCCCTCACACTCCTGGTGGGTTCAGAGGAGCAGTCACTGCACCAACTGCAGCAGCCTGAACACCAAGGTGCAAAACAACCTCCCCACACAGTTTACAGATCCCAAAGCAGCTGAGTGTCTTCCAAACCCCAGCCAGCAACACTCTGAAGGAGGAGAATGGGGGAAGACAGAGATGGTGTGCTGTCCTGGGGTGTGGAAGGCTGTGCAGCCCCAAGCAGAGATGCCAGAACCCACTGCATGCACTGTTGTAATCTCAAACCTGAGGTATTTTCACACACAGGCTGGATGCCCACGGGTATCCTGCGCAGGTGTCCCAGGAGCCTCATGTCCTTCCAGACATGATGGGGTCATTCAAAGGGTCTTTGCAGCTCAAAAGCCTTTCCCAGTGGTTGGGCTTTCATTAGGCAAAAGCGAGTCTGCTCAACCGTGCTTCTGAGAAATACAACAATGAATTTTGTACTCCAGGGAGCAAAAATGATGTCAAAATGCTGAGAAATGGGGCAGAGAAGAGGGCTGTCTTTTGATCTGTAATCTGCTCTGCCTCAGTGAGCAGGCAGGTCCTCAGTCTGACCACCTTGCAACTGTAAGCCATCTGCTGTAGTTTAACTTCTGTCAGAAAAGGAAGGTGGATTATCTGTTCACTCCCTGGGAGGAATCTCTAAGAAAACTGTTACCAAGGCTTCCAGATGCTCTGGTTCATCCTGCTTCATCTGGAGCAGCAACAGTGACATACTTTAAAGAGCAGCTTTTCATTTTTTAAACATCTGTTTAATTCCACCTGCATGTAACCAAAATATTTCCACTGCTCCTTCCTGAGGTGTCATGCCTGTGTTTTCCTGAGCAGTCTCCAAATTATCAGTAAGTTTTGGTAACACAAAAGCCCCTTTTCCATTTGAACCCCAGAGTTCACGGATGCAGTGGATTTGGGAGTCTGATGCATTTGGGAACTAAATGAGCAACAAAGAGACTCAGGGGTGGGAGGGCGGATAGAAAGCTGTCTGTACCCTCTCTGAATTTAAAAACAGTTTCTCATTTCATAACAGCTTTTTGTCCCCATGTGAACATTCCTGGAATCAGTGAAGGAGCAGAGACACCATCAGGGACAAGGTTTGCCTAAAATATCTGAGCTATCTGACTGAGAGTGAGTGCCAGTGAGAGGCACTTGAGAAGCAGGAGGGGAGATGAACCATGGGTTGGCCTGGGACTGGCCTGGGTCTGCCACAGCTCTGCTCACCTTCAGGGCAGGCAGAATTCAGGGGTGCTGAGTGTGTCTGCAGGATGAGGGTCAGTGAGTCAGGAAGGAGATAATCATATGGAAAAAAATTAACAGGATTCATCCTGCTGAACACATCACCACACTTCAGCTCCTGCCCCACTAGGGGCAAACCCACAGGGCTCATTGAGTAAGTCAATTAATGCCTAGGAAGGTTTACCCCTTCCACCCCCTTTCCACCCCTGGATCTCACTCTGACACACAAAATCTCCTTTATCATCCTCACATCAAGACAAGACTCCAGGCAGTTTCTCCAGGCAGACATGAGCACTGCTGAGCCCAGAACTGGCCCCTGCATTTAGCTGCCATTTCTGCAAGTCACTGCTCTCAAAGCTTTGTTAATTTATTATAGGGTTGCTTGTTGTTTGTGTACTGAGCCAGGTAGAAAACAGCTTCTGCATAAGAGGATAATTGCAGTGAGATAAGCTCTTCAGAGCTGGGATTGCAAAAATACGATACGATGTAGACCAGCAGTTGTCTGGGTAAAATAGAAACATGGATGAGTTTTTGGGTTGGAACATTCTTCCCCCATCTATCACAGACTCCCTGTCTGCCTCTGGGCAAATCATTTGATGTATCTCAATTCTCTGTACATAAAAAAGGTGATAAAAATGCTTCACTCTGGCAAACTCACCCCTGGAGCAGAGAACCTGGTACTTGGATGTGCAGCAGTGGCAGCTGCTTTCCCACTTTGCCCTATGGGATTTCTTTCTAAGTTGCCCATCTCATTTAGTCAGTGTGTTCTGACATCAGGGTCTTGCTCACCCAGACTGGATACTCCTGCTTCACAGTCCCACAAAGAAATTTTTGCCCAGGCTTTCACTCCTGTTTGATGACAAACAGGGCTATAAACGCTGGATTGCGTGATGACAGCAGGCACTGCTGGATGGGCTGATGGCAGCCTCAGCCTAAACTCTTCCAAAGCATCAAGACTGAAAGTGATGCAAGTGGCTGGAAAATTCAGAGCATGACTTGGTTTCTATGGGCACGGTGTTGCCAAAAGGCACCAGGTATCCAGGAGCTGGGATCCAGTTCTCAGCACCAGTGTAGCAGCACCAGGATCATGTTTGCTGCTTCATTGCCTTGTTCCATCTTTTCTGTTCCTGTGGGGACCCACATCAGCTGTGGGCAGGGAGCAGGTTACCCATGCCCTGCTCAGCTCAGCAGTGCTGGGCTGGCAAAAGTGTTTGAGCACAGGAGGGTCAGATCCACTCCTGAGATAAAGCCAGGGATTTGTCTGAAAATCCATTTGGCTCTGTGTTCCCAAGAAACATGACTCACAAGCCAGTGTCTGACACTGAGAGATAGGTATGACACCGAGTGCCCCATGGGGAAAAGCTGTGTCCCCGGGGTATGAGCAGAGCCCTGCAGAGCTGAGCAGAGATCGTGCTGGAATGCACAAAGCCTTATAAAGGCAGTGCTCTGGGTTTGTCCTTCTCTCAGCTCTTCAGGCGATGAAAAGGACGA